CCGACCTAAACCGACAAAACATTCATTACTGTACACTTATGATAATTAACGATAATTGCCCTCTTGTGTGTTAATTTCTTGATGACCGGCATGCGAGCCGTGACCTGCTGAACTTGCATCACGCGTGGTGGGATTGGAAGTGATGATTGCTCGGCCACCTGGTTCCCCGATGTTGGCGTAAGACGGCGCGGTGGCCTGTGCGTTCCCGAAGTGGCGACTTGCTTTGGCCAAATTGAGCCTCAGCACCGAATATGGACTGGGGAAGTCATTGCACTTGTTTATGGACTGGGCGTCCGTGAACCATGACTAAAGTAATTCTTGATTCACACGTTTGACATCTCTTTCGAGAATTTCGGTCTCATCAAATTCGAATGTGTGACCGGGTCTCGTCGAATGAGTCGCTACTTGATGTCAGTTTGGTGTGCGTGTGAGAAAATAGAGGAACCCTAGGGAATACTCAAGAATGTTCAAAGGCGCGCGACATAACTGGTGACCAGGCAGGGCTCATTGCCCTACGAAATACCTTTGGCTAATCTCGACCTATTCCGTTAAATTACAGGCAGATACGTGGTAATCGGATACAAACATTTCGTATAATGCGCGGTCAGGACTGCTGTCCTCTACCTGGCGACTTCTTCGAGTTAGCAACAACTACGAACATAAGAGGTCATCCATTCAAACTACGTGTAACAGGAGCCAGAATAGACGCACGAAAGTCCTTCTGTAATAGAGTAGTTGAAGCTTGGAATGCTCTGACCCTGGATGTTGTTATGTCCGCGTCCGTTGAAGTGTTTAAGAAGCTAGATTGCTGTAGTAATGCTCACCACGTCCTCTGAGATTAGCTCTAGGAAACCACCGAGTAATTACATGTTATAACGCCAACTGAGCACGCATCTGCTGTCCAGCACACTCCCCGCGCAAAGAAAAGTGCGCTGGCCAAAACCACTGATAGGGAAAACCTGGGTGTATTGCACAGAGACCTCGGGTGAAAAGCATGAGGACGATTGTAAGCTGTTATTCCCATGTCTTATGGTTGCTACAAATCACAGGATGCTTGTCTTCTTGCTCAGATATTTATACAGTATAGGAAACACCATGGCAGCTAAATGTAGATTAAAACTGCGTCCCAAATTAACAGAGGAGTTGCCAAAGTGGCTCTCTGGAGGTCAAACACATGCCCACTAGACATGTGGCGCGAGGGTAGTCTCATCGTCCTTACATAAGTAAAACCCAACAAGGACAGACAATCTTCTCAGGAAGTCTAGGGGCTTAAAGCAGGCGTACTCGCCCACCTGCAGCCATTGGTTACCCATAAACCAATCAGGACGCTAAATCAAAACAACCCTTTATGAGGTAAATGGATAGGCCTAAACGACTCAATCGCTCGTAAAAACCCGAATCTGCCAAGCAGTCAGACGAAATCTGCCTGCCTGAATGCTGACGTGCAATTACGTTCAAAGACAGCATGCCCACAGGACAACCCCCGGGCGTCTCACATAAACAACAGATGAAGACGGGAAAAGGTGGTAAGCTCATAATTCCCATCTGCCATGCTTATTCATTATTACTCAGCTACTGACATAGTATAGGATATAGCAATGCTAGTTGATAATGGAGCATATTGATCTCCTATTAGACAAGAGACGTCCCCTAAACCTCAATAGAGAGTAAGGTACTGCAAAAAGTCAAAATCTAACCAAATAACGACAAATAACTAAACAAATTGCGGCTATAGGTTGCGGCTGCATACTAGGTTTCGACTTACTACATGCACGCGCAAACCACTTTGTAGTAAAATAAATACTGGTTTTATCGATATGAGTACTGAAATTAGCACTCCTAGCACTGAAAGGTCTCCTCATACAGCACTATCCTAGCCCTATTAGCCCTATAGGTGCGTTGTCTATGTAAAGCTACACCTAGTGACCACAAGAGAAGATTCTCCTATGGCTCGGGCAGACAAGCACCCGGACGCCTTGTCAGGTAATCGGGTTTTCTCGGCACTAAGTTTAGTCGCCGAATATTACTAGATATTTAGTCAGGCCGGCCCATTTTCATCCCTATTTGGAGACGACTCCCAACGTGTACAGCTATGTGCCCGTTTAGATCAAATACCGTAACAGTTGCCTATGGACTAAACGAACTAAAATCGCTAGTATCACCAACATCACTAATATTGCAATTTTTATG